ACCTGGGCGTTAAGGATGAGGGGTGTTTTCTGCCCTGTGGGAGCTTGTGGTCCTGAAAATCCACTGTAGTCCCAGTCGGACACCGTGTTTTCCACTCGTGGGTGTGCATGTTGAAGCACAACTGTTGGATAGCATATCACTATCAGCGCACATCCTTATGCTACATTTCTTTCTTTCTTTTTTAAACTGCAGGGTTAGTGTGATCTGAAATAATTAAAATTATTATCTTTTTGCTCAATTAGGGCGGCTTTAACATAAGACAGCTCTGATATAGTTTTTAGATTAAGTTATAAATGTTCACTTTAGAACTACCTGAAGATTGATAGAGATGCATTTGAAAAGCATTATTTTTTTATTGATTCTTAATGTAGTAAATTACTGAAGTTATTTGGCAGCAAACAGAAATGGCCTCTCATGTGGTTCACATTTATTCTCCCGATAGTGCCACAATTTGCATTAATTGCATTGCGACTGCACTCACTTATATTAAAAGGCTTCTACTATAATTAATCCTTTTTATTTCAAATCATTTTGGCACAATTTCTAGCTATAAACACTCATAAAAGACAGACAGTTGAAAAATACGTTACAGGTTTTTTCCATATACCTATTGCAATTTTTTTCGTGACAAGTCGTTATTGATGTGCTTCTGGAACAAGTGTGGTGCAACCGGCTGAGAATTAAGGCCAGTGTGAAAAATGCTAAGTGGATTATTTTGCATAAAAAATAGGCAGTTTTGAAATTGTATAATTAACCTGTGTTTAGAAAATACGTTGATTTATGCTTACATTTGTATCTCAGTTGCATACATTTATGGAAATTTAATTTATAATCCATTTAGCTGATGCAATCATAGTTTTTAGTGCTATCATTTATTAGTGCTTGTATATTAAATGCTCTAAAGGTTTAAACCTGCCTTATGTAAAAAATTATACCTAGGCATTTACATTTTATGAGTCACAGTGGGATTTCTGTTTAAAATTCAGGTAGCTCTGATCTATTTAACGAATTTCACTGGTTTATTGTTACTAATGCAGAAGTGGCAAACGATGACCTTGTATATTGAACACCCCATGATTTACACTTCCAGTTTACTTTAAAGTCCACTACAAATGACACTGTTCTTCAGCACCTGGAATCAGTCATGGCGTCTGGCGCAGAACGTTCTCCTTGGCTGTGAAGCCATCGTTCATTTAGAAGTAATGGGATTTTTAAGTGCTCCAGGTTAATAGCATTAGCCATTCTTAACTTTAAGCAAACTGTGGTTTTTCAAAACAACTCTTTCTTTGCGTTATCAGTAGATGAGTTAAGTGCTGGTCGCCATCTTACTGCTCATTCTCTCATTCAGAAGTCTTTTTTTGCCACGTTTTCAGAATTAATTGGGTAATCGTTAGTCTTCAAATCAGAAATAAAAGCACGGGGACATAACACTTCAGTTTCCCTGGCAGAGAACATCTGGAGTCTTAGCTGGAAGGGGGATATTATGAAATACGTAGTAAACAGATGGCGAACCTGAAGTCCTCAGACGTGTTAACCTTGGGAAGAAGTGTTAATTCATACTGTCTGTCAGCGGCGTCCGGAGGCAAGAAGCCAGTGCACTGGATGCTACTTTCAGGACGATGTTTGATAGCTATTCTCTGGTTCCTTCCAGTCCTGTGAGTGGGACAGACTTTGAAGTGTGGGTCTCACTCAGGGTGAACCTGAGCATTCTCGGTGGCGTAGGAGGGACAGGGGAAGCACTCATTCGAGGGTACGTTTTTTGGTGTGTTTAACGATCATTGGTTTACAGACTAGCGCCACCGCTGATTGTTGCCCGTGTGGAAGTGGCCCACATCCGGTGTGACCCAGCTGAGTAAAAACTGGCGGTGCCGGGAGCCGTGGGCAGGGCATGTTCACCCAACGTGAAGGGTGGCGCGGGGGCTGGAGGCTCGGAGGGCCGGAGCCCCTGCTCCCCGGAAGCTGTTCGTCTGCTGTGTTCGCTCGCACTGGTGTGTCTCACCAGAGCCTCGTGTCTCCCGTCTCGCGTGTGTGGACGTGGTCGGGTGAATGGCCTCCTGGAAGAGGGGCTTCTGGAGTCGCGGTCTCACGGCCGAGCGACTACCCCTGGGATTACAGTTTGTTTTATGGCGGTGTTCCGGGAGCAGCATGGTGGCACTTGGATCTTTCAACGGTGACTTAAAGAAAAGCTCTGAATACATCCGTAGCGCAGCTCACTGAGTACTTTCTGAAGCGGGGCTCCCCCGCCATCCCCCCGAAAGAGAAGGGTTTGTGAGAACGTGTGCCTGAGGCTCTGCCTCCAGCTCCCCACCCACCGAGTGGGGGTGGCGACTCCACTCTCCCTGTCATTGTCATGTCTCTGCAGACTACTCTTACTTTAGCAAAAATGGCCTCGGGCGTGGAGACCCAGATTTCCCCTAGACTTCTGTAGAAGAGTGACTCTTGCCTTCCACTTAGGAGATCTTCCGGACAGGCCAGATGCAAGCGAGACAGCTGATGTGTGCTCAGCGCAGTGCCTGGCTCAGAGCTAGCATCAGTACATAGTAGCTTAGGTTCATTGGGACAGTTTGACAGGACTTGTTGGGGCTTCCAAGGCCATCATCTGTTAGAAGAAAATAAGAACGTTTCTGAAAATTTTACAGCCCACTTCTGCTTCCTTGTTGCACTTTCTCTCAATCTAGCTTTCTGGTTGGTGTGTTGTGCAATCACTTCCACGAGGGACCGGAGTGTGGAGGGAACATCTTCAATGTCAGAACTCTCTCAGAGCTGTATAGGAAATGGGAAATGAGACTAAGACCAGCCTGTGCTCTGTGATATGGCTGCCCTTCCAGTCCCCCAACCTGAACAGAAAAATTCTTCATTGTTTGGGACAATTGCTCCTGAAGACAAAAACTCACTGTAACTTTCTGTTCCCCTCTACGTGAAAATCCCAAGCGCTGATTGGAATACAACATGAATACTGTAGATAGTGCGTGTTTAAAATGCACTTTACAGCCTTAGGCCATAGGAGTATTTATCGTGCAGGATGAATTCTGACATCATGCTGGGAAACCTGCATCACTTGGCCCCTCTTTTCTCTGGATGGAGAATCGGGAGATTAATATAGTAATATAGTAATATTCACCAGCGCTTAATTCGTCCAGTACCACCGGTCATCAGGGAAATGCAAATTAAAACCATAGTGAGATACCCCACTGCACCAGCCAGAATAACTAAACTTAAAAAAGACTGAACTGACAACGCTAATGATCAGTGAGGTTCTGGACCAGTTGGAACCTTCCTGTGTTGCTGGTCATGGTGGAAAATGGTTGCGTTTTGGAAGACAGTGTGTCGTTGCCTGATAACAGCTAAGCGCACCTCACGCCCAGTGCTTCCCCTGTCAACGGGTCTGAAGTCTATACTGGGAGAGGTGAGCATGGATCCACAGAAAGGCTCACGCTGACGGTCCAGCAGCTTTGTTTCTCCTAGCCTCAAATGGGAAACAGCTCCACGTCCATCATCAGGCCCAGGGCTGGAGATGATACCAGCCTCGCGGAAAAGAACAGACAGTAACAGGTGAATCTCAAAAGCATCCTGCTGTGAGGAGGCACATGCTGTCTGGTGCCATCGGTGGAGTCCTGGGGTGGCAGCGCGCCCGTGGTGACGGCCACAGAAGGGGCTGAACGTGAGGGAGGCTGTGGCTGAAGGTCATGAGGGAGCTCTCGGGGGAGTTTGGGGAGGGGAGGTGTTCTGTGCCTTCACCCGAGCGGCCACTGCGTGGGTACGGTCAAGTACATTCATCAAGCTGCACTTACAGACTGCGTTTTATCTGGCCCTTTGTAAGTTATCCTTTCACGTACACGAGTGAAGAGACAGTTCCGCACGTGGCCCTCGGACACAAAGTGGACAGGAACCCAGAGTGCAGAGGTCCTCCTGTGGGCGTCAGGGCGTCTGGGTTTGGCGCCAGCGCTGCCCCGCGCTAACTCACCATGTCCACCCGAGTGCCCGTGAGTCCCAAGGCCCAGTCTCTTCAGTTCAGAACAGGGCCTGTGGGCCAGGTCCGGCCTGCCCCTGTTGTGTGGCCAGTGTGCGAAGAGGGCTTTTCCCTTCTGATGGCCGGAAAAGCCTACAGAACAGTATTTCTTGGCATTGAGAATTACGTGCGGTCCAGCCCTGGTACACAGCTGTCCTCACTCGGCCCCGCCCTGTGTTCCTTTTTTGCTACAAAGGCCGAGCAGAGGAGTGGCCACCAAGCCAGTCCAGCCCACTGTTGTGGGCTGAATTGTGACCCCCCCAGAAATGAGGTTCCCTCCTAATCCCTCGTACCTGTGAACCTGACCTTATTTGGAAGGGAATCTTTGTGTATGGGTCATCGCGGGTTAGAGTGGCCCCCCAAATCCAGTGACTGGTCTCTGTAAGAGAAAGGACAGGGAGACCCACACACAGGGAAGACAGCCGCCCAAAGAGGCAGAGTTTGGAGTGACTCAGCCAAAAGCCAGGGGCCACCGGGTGTGGCCGGCAACATCAGAGAGGACAAGGGGGCCTTTCGGGAGAGTGTGCCCTGCTGCCACCCGGAGTTAGACTTGTGGCCTGCAGAACCCTGAGGCGCCAGGTCTCGGTTGTTCTGAGCCCCCAGCGCGTGCGGCTTTGGTACAGCAGCTCTCGGGGGCTCACACGCCTGCACAGCCCTCTACCAAAAACATGTGCCCACCTCTTGCAGCACAAAAGACGGGGCTCTGGAACGCCCCCGTCGGTACACACATTCTGTGAGGCAGCCCTAAAACGTGCTGCTGGTCTGCTCTAGAATTTGCGACACACTGAAGGCATGCGTTGAATGGTTCGCCTGGCCTAGCACACGGTAAGTGCTCACCAAATACTAGCTTCCACCATCGTCGTCATTATGAAGAGGAAGTAGCTGCTGTCAGGACTCTGTTAAATCTCGAGTTGGACTTTTTTATTCGTAGGCAGTGTGAAAAAAGAATTCCTCTGAGATGCTAATCATTGCTCCTTGTTCTCATTTGAAGGCTCTCTATGAAAATATGCTGGTAGAATTGCCCTTTGCTGGGTTCTTCCTGTCCAAATTGCTTGGAACCAGCGCAGACGTGGACATCCATCATCTCGCCTCGTTAGATCCCGAAGTGTATAAGAATCTGCTTTTTCTCAAGAGCTACGAAGGCGACGTGGAGGAACTTGGGCTGAACTTCACTGTGGTGAACAATGACCTGGGAGAGGCACAGGTGAGGAGGCCCTTGGCCGGTTTGTTACTGACGCCAACTTCTCTTCCCACGGCGACGGGGAGGATTTCCTTCCGTGTGGAAATGCTTCAGTGCCTTTCCAGTGCGCTGAGGGTTAGACTTGGGGAATGGGGTGTCTGGAGACGCACGTGCCCCGGCCCCAGTCCTTTGTGACGGCTATCCTCTGGGATTGTCTTCTTGGGGCGGCTGCTTGCCTGGCTCTCCGTCCCAGGGAGTGGCGGTTAGCACCTTCCCGACTGGAGCCCTGAGGGTCCCTGTGCCCCTCCGTTCCCTGCCCAGTCTCGGTGGACCTCGGGTGCTCGGACACCGATCGCTGGCCTCCATTATCAGTCTGGTTGGTCTTGCTGCCTTTATCCTTTAAAAAAAAATGAATAAACCCTACATGCTAGAGATTGAAACTGATTTTTTAAATGACAGCAGTATTGGGGTGTAATTTGCATACGGTAAAATGCACACTTTAGAGGATGGCATGGGTCAGCACATTCCCAGAATGGGCAGCCCTCACCAGCATCTCCGTTCGGGATGGTTTCGTCTCTCCAAAGAAACTGTGTGTGCATTAGCAGGTCCCTCCCACCCAGCGTAGGTGAGCACGATATGCGTGCTGTCTGCGTGTTCATCTACCCTGGACGCGGTCCCTAACTGGAGTCTTACAGCCCGTGGCCTTTTGCGGCCGGCTTCATTCCCTTTTGTTGTAGGAGCCAGAACTCCGTCCCTTCATCTGGCTGAGCGGCACCCCGTTGTATGGAGATGCCACAGTTTCTTTCTCAGCTGACGGACATTTGGGTTATTTCCACTTTTCAGCTGTTATGAAGAATATGCTGTGAACATTCTTGTACAACATACTGAACTGTGGAAGAGTTGATAACATCTGGGATTTATTTCCAGTATGATGAGAGCAGGGGCAGTGGGTGGAGGTGGAGATGAGCTAGATTGGCCATGAGGTGGAACTTGCTAAAATAGGCGGTCGGGGGCGCCTGGGTGGCTCAGTTGGTTAAGCGACTGCCTTCAGCTCAGGTCATGATCCTGGAGTCCCTGGATCGAGTCCCTGGATCAAGTCCCGCATCGGACTCCCTGCTCGGCAGGGGGTCTGCTTCTCCCTCTGACCCTCCCCCCTCTCATGTGCTTGCTCTCTCTCATTCTCTCTCTCTCAAATAAATAAATAAAATCTTTAAAAATAAAATAGGCGGTCGGGTTGGGGGGCGGCATTCGGCGTACTTTTTTGTCTACATTAGCATACATTCAGATGTTCCCGTAATTTACAAAACCTTTTTTAATGTATACCGACGAACAAAATTGAGGACCTTTGAGGTCGTAGTTGTTAATATCTCATTTTATCAGATTTTAAAGTGACCAGTGTGCTTCTCTATTTTTGGTCTGTTTTGTGGGGAAAAACAGCTTTTCTGCTATTGTTATTAGATCAGTAAACTTTTCTGAATCTAGTAGTTGTATTTTAACTATAAAACGATTGTTACTGGGACGCCTGGTGGCTCAGTTCTTAAGCGTCTGCCTTAAGCTCGGGTCATGATCCCAGGGTCCTGGGATCGAGTCCTGCATCGGGCTCCCTGCTCAGCGGGGAGTCTGCCTCTCCCTCTGCCCCTCCCCCTGCTTGTACTCTCACTCTCTCTCTAGCAGAGAGATAAATAAAACCTTTAAAAAAAACTGTTACCTTTAAACTTCGTAAATTTCTGTTATTACTTGGTTTTTAATTCAGGCTTTCAAAGGTCATCAGCTTTGCCAGCTTAAAAGTAACTTCATATTAAATCTATACTTAGTGTTTAGTCAAATCACCATTGATAATGCATTGATCCATTCAGGGTACTCCTTAACCTAACCTCCAGGTCGTCAGCACTAACATTTTATTTTGATAAACACATGTACTGAACAAATTTGAGTTGATGCAATTTTGGTTATTTTTAAATCATATTACCTACTTGCCACTGTGCCTCATCTGTATTTCTTCATTCACTCATGAGACAGTGTTGCCACTCCGTACCAGCCATGATGCTATCATGCATAGGAGGTTTTTTCTAAACTAGGAGAGCATACACATTCTAACAGGGGAGGCAGATGTGAGCAGTAGCTCAGCTCCAAGTAGTTCAGGGGAGAGCTACCTGGGAGAGACACTGGGGGGGTGGAAAGGCGTTCACCAGGTAGGTGAGCACATTTAGAAGTGGCTAAGCTTAGGGGTGTACAAGAGTAGGTAGACAGATGCCAGCAAATCTGGGCTTCTCCGGCCATCGCGGAGAACAGTTAGAGGCCTTGGGCTTTAGAAAGGGTAAAGATGCAGTCAGAAGGAGAACCAGTGTTTCATTCCATAGCTGGTTTGCAGTATTTCATTGCTTCAGGGTAAGAGGGCCTAAACCGGTGCATTTCAGAGCCAATAGGAAAATGAGTAACAAGAAAACACTTGGGGGCACCTAGCTGGATTGGTCAGTGGAGTGTGTGACTCTTGATCTCAGGGTTGTAGATTCGAGCCCCATGTTGTAGAGATTACTTAAAAAAAAAAAAAAAAAAAATCCTTAAAAAAGAAAGAAGAAAACCCTTGAGCCTTCCCAGGAAGCTGAGATTTTGATTCTGTGAGTCAGGGCAGGACCCAGGAGCAGCCTGCTTATTTCCTGGGTCAGGTGGTTCAGAATTCAGAGAAACCACAACTTGGGGGTTAAGCAGTGAAAAAGTTTTAACGAGAGAACGTCTGTATGATCTTCATTTTTAAAGTTACGGTCTGTAGGTATAGGTCAGTATCTTGAGCGAAGTTGATTTTATTTGAGTCAGAGGAGGATGGGGCAGGCAGGGCATTCTTGCACTGAACTCCCTGTTCCCTCGTGCCCTGGTGCCCACCATTCTACTTTGGGTCTCTGTGAGTTTGACGACTGTGAGGACCTCATCTAAGTGCAGTCATATAGGGCTTGTCCTTTTGTGACGGGTTTATTTCACTGAGCTTGATGTCCTCCCAAGTTCACCTGTGATGTAGCACAAGTCAGAATTTCTTCCTTCTTAAGGCTAATACCCCATAATCTGTACAGATCACGTTTGTTTAGCCATTCATCCCTCGATGGACATGAGAGTTGTCTCCACTCTCATGAATAATGATGCCACAGTAATGATGTACATGGGCTGTACAAATACCTGTTCAAGTCGCTGCTTTCCGTTCTCATGGGTATATACCTAGAAGTGGGATTGCTGGGTCACACAAGAATCCTAATGTTTAACTTTTTGAGGACCTGCATACCATTTTCCATGGTGGCTGCACTGTTGGTCTTTCTACCAGCACCGCACAGGGGTTCCAATCTCTCCCTGTGTTGCCAACACTTGTTTTCTGCTTTCTTTTCTCTCTCTCTGTCTTTTTTAAAAACTCACAGCCGTCGTCCTGGGTGCGAAGTGCTGTCTCATTGTGCTTTGTGGTGCACAGAGCCCTAATAGTCTGGGACTGCTTCGGGAAGGCTCCGAGGTGTGAGACCTTTGTGTTGGCTCCCTCCCTGGGCTGCAGGACCGTTGCATGGCCCCCACACCAGCGATGTCTTCAGAAACTAAGTTAAGAAGCACACACAGACTTACACATCCTAGTTCTAAACTCTCTGGGTATTTTTAAATGTCTGTCTTCGTGGTGCTTGAATTTTAGTCTATTTCTTGGCCTTTAAAAAGCTGCCTATTGGGGCGCCTGGGTGGCTCATTTGTTAAGCGTCTGCCTTCGGCTCAGGTCATGATCCCGGGGTCCTGGGATCGAGCCCCACGTCGGGCTCCCTGCTCGGCGGGAAGCCTGCTTCTCCCTCTCCCACTCCCCTTGCTTGTGTTCCCTCTCTCGCTGTGTATCTCTGTCAAATAAATAAAATCTTTAAAAAAAAAAAATTACGTATTTAATGGGGTGCCTGGGTGACTCAGACAGTTAAGCGTCCAACTCTTGATTTTAGCTCAGTCATGATCTTGGGGTCGTGAGATTGAGCCCCACGTAGGAGCTCCGCACTCGGCAGGGAGTCTGCTTGGGATTCTCCTCTCTGCTCCCTCTGTCCCCCGACCCCCACTGTGCATGTGCACGAACTCTCACTCTCTCAAATAAATAAGTAAAATCTTAAAAAAAAAAAAAACCAAAAAACTAGCTATTGAAGAAATAGGTGTGGATTAAACCCTAAGTGGGAATATAGGAAATGATACCACCTTGGGTCTCCCGCTTCCCTGTCTTACTTGGACACCTCTAGGCGTTGTTGAGAACTGACCTCAACACTGCGAGAGAAGATAAGAATGAGGAGGACAGAACCATTCTGTTTGGTTACAGCTTACTTAGTTGCTTTTGTTTGCACCTCTTCATTTTATTTTATTTATTTTTTTAAAGATTTTTTATTATTTGAGAGAGAGAGTGAGAGAGAGAAAGAGCACAAGAGGGGGGAGCGGGAGAGGGAGAAGCAGACTCCCCGCTGAGCAGGGAGCCCGATGCGGGACTCGATCCCAGGACTCCAGGATCATGACCCGAGCCGAAGGCAGTCGCTTAACCAACTGAGCCACCCAGGCGCCCTGCACCTCTTCATTTTATAGAGCTGAAGTTTCAGCATGCAGAATTCAGATTTTTGTGAAAGATGAGGTTTGTTCCTAGCGTGAGGACACTGAACACACAGACAGTGATGGCTGCTCGCCCTGCTGTCTCGCTCCACCTGGTGGCATGATTTAAAAAATGAAATAAAAGCGCCAGGGCAGTCAGTTTTATAATGACCTGTCCACGGCCTTTGCTAATGGGAGTATTTCCCATTTTTCCTCCTGAAATAGATGGTAATAGTGAAATGTCGCATATGTAAGAGTTCCATTAAAGCACCACTGGTAATATTGGAATCTATTAAAAGCAAAAGTGTGAAGTTACAATGTTCCAATTATTCATAGAAATTCCCACTGAATAAAGAGATTATGGATGACAATGCAGAGGAATAATTACACTAAAGAGTCCAACAGGAAAAATTGAGAAAGTCACTGGTAAAGCAGCCAATTTGTGGGGGAGATCTTACAGATTTCTACAGAGAGAGATATAAAAACATAGTCCTCTATACAGGTTTAAGTTTGTAAAATACTATGATTTAAAGATTTCTAATATGCAAATACTTCATTATGTTGGTAGGTTACGTTAATCAATCTCCCCTTTTAAAATACTAGTGTTCCTCCCCAACTTATTTTCTCCGGTAAAATCAATATGGCTGTTAGCCTGCCTAAAAACAAACATGAAATTTTAGACCACGAATTTGTACACATATCTTTGCTGAGGAAAGTGCTCAGGGTTTAAGATGGTTCTGTGAGTGATCATCGTTACGTACGAGGCATGAACGTGAGTCACGAGTCCTTGTGAAAGTTCGGGCTTGCTGCTGTGGCGCTTCAGTGGCGCTTCCCCGCCTTCGGGGGTCGTGGACGTGGCTCCAGGGTGAGGTGAGCTCGTGCGGGTGGTGAGCACTTGAGGCCCCGAGCCTTCTGCAGCTGGACTCAGGACTGTCAGGGAGGAGAGCTCTTCGTAGAAGAGCTGCTCTAGTTCCATACTTAGAGGTGTCAGTGTGCCCCCAAAACTGAAATCCCGGGACAGATTTGATGTGATTTTAGACACAGAGAGTTGTTTTGATGTAGCCTAGAGAGGAGTTTAGACGACCACGGCGCAGTCCCTGTGCGGTCACTGGAAATGGCATTGCCATCTGATCAGGCAGGGTGACTGGGGCTTTGGAAGTCCTTTACGTGATCGTTTCCCGGGTCCTTTGTCTTCGAATCACTCAGTACATGCTCATTTATTACCTGTTGTTAATCCACTTAAGGTAAGAAGTGGTAGTTTGTACATTAAAACAGAGCCGCGAGCGCGAGGCCCAGGTGACAGATGGCCTGTCAGCGGGCGGCGAGCACGGGAGGCATTGTGGCCTCTCCCTGGAGCAGAGACGAGCAAGGAGATGTGGGTGCAGAGCCTTTCTTAGGCCTCTGGTTCCAGCGTGGAGCACGAGAGTTAATGAGAAGGGAGGCGTCATCTAGAACGTGCACTGTGGAAAGAAGCAAATCCAATAAAGCTTTGTAACGTCTTTAGCGTGAGATGGCCACGTAACCACTGGGTGTACGATGATTTCAGTATAGCTCTTCAGCAGATGGTAAAATGGCCTTTCTCTCAAGTGGTAAAAAAAAAAGCTGGCTGAAATGCCGTTGCCCAGAGCGGGAGGCGTTGTCTTCATTATGACAGAACCACGAGGGGGACGTTTTCGCGGTTTCCGTAGCCCGCAGTCTGGGCAGCGCTCTGTTTTCACCCCCCGAGGTTTGCCACCCACGGGTCATTCGGGAATGGCTTGTTCACTTACTGTGGATTTGTCTTCTGGTTCTTCATCCTCAGCACAGACGGCCTCCTCCAAATGCATCTGAGTAAACAAACTTTAACAAGTGCATTCTTGTAAATGAGGCTGGTGTGTTTATAATTGGCTGTGCTATTTTGTCAACCACCTTTGGTTTATGTGAGTTTAGAGAACCACAGTTCTAAGGTAGACCAAGCAGAAGTATCACCATCTTATTAATGACGAAAGCAGTTCCTGGGGCGAGGTGAGTTGCGGGCGTCGGCGTTACCGGGAGCGGGGAGAGCCGGCGTGTGGCCCCAGCTCCCGCCGAGGGCTTCCCGTGACGCTCCGGCGCAGCCAGCACCGCTCACCAGCTCTGTGCTAGACCGACAGGCTGTGCGAGCGTGGCTACCCAAGGACAGAGGGTTGTCCTCTGAGGTTCAGTCATCTGAACGACGGTCAGTCACCTCTAATGGACCGCTGTCCTCTGAGTCCTGTTGAAAGTACTTCAGGGGCGCCTGCCCGGCTCAGTCCGTGCATGTGCGACTCCTGATCTCGGGGACGTAGGTTCAAGCCCCACGTTGGGTGTAGAGATTGCTTAAACATAAAATCTTTAAAAATAATGAAAGAGGGGCGCCTGGGTGGCTCAGTCGTTAAGCGTCTGCCTTCGGCTCAGGTCATGGTCCCAGGGTCCTGGGATCGAGCCCCGCATCGGGCTCCCTGCTCGGCGGGAAGCCTGCTTCTCCCTCTCCCACTCCCCCTGCTTGTGTTCCCTCTCTCGCTGTGTCTCTCTCTGTCAAATAAATAAAATCTTAAAAAAAAAAAAAAAAGGAAAGAATAAAGTATGTCATAGTGGTAACAACATGATGGAGACCTTCACTCCTTGGGCTGTATTTTCTCCAGAATGAATCCCTTTGGACATGTGTTCATTTTTTGGTTCATATCTTTGCCCCTTGTGATTCATAATTTATTTTAACTTTTAATTATTAGAGAAAGAGTGTGCACCTGTGTGTGAGTGGGGGGGAGGGGCAGAGGGAGAGAGAATCTCAAGCAGGCTCCCCACTAAGCACGGAGTCCGATGCGGGGCTCAATCTCACGACCCTGAGATCATGAGCTGAGCCGAAATCAAGAGTCGGATGCCCAAACAACTGAGCCACCCAGGCGCCCCAGATTCCTAATTTTTTAAGACAGAGTTGCCATGATTGCGTTGCTGCGTCACTCCTTAGTGCTTCGGAGAAAGCACTGGCGGCTGACAGCCCTAAAGACGGGACAGGACGCCCGGCTTTGGAGAATGCCGTCAGGTGTGCCAGCTACACGGCTTTTTATGTAGATTCTCACATACAAAGCAGTGCTGTCAGGTTTCTTTGAAGTAGGTGTTTCTTGCTTTCATTTTACTCTGGTCATACTGAGAATTTCCAGACCCTTATTTTAATACTTGCAGGTAGTCGAACTAAAGTTCGGTGGGAAAGACATTCCTGTCACCAGTGCCAACAGGATCGCGTATATCCACCTTGTCGCCGACTACAGGCTGAACAGGCAGATCCGTCAGCACTGTCTGGCCTTCAGACAGGGCCTGGCCAACGTGGTGAACCTGGAGTGGCTGCGAATGTTCGATCAGCAGGAGATCCAGGTACACTGCTCTCTGGCGCTTGGGGTCACAGCTGGCACGTGACACAGAAAAGCTGTCATAAAATCGACCTCAAGTTTATGAATCCAACTTCTTTTTCAGGTGTTAATTTCTGGTGCACAAGTTCCCGTAAGTCTAGAGGACCTGAAGTCCTTTACAAACTATTCAGGTATGTTGTCACTACTAATTACTAATCCTGAAAATGTTATAGATGATATTTCCAAACTAATTTTTCATACACTTTGTTTGGTAATTCATCCACATGGTTTAGAGCCCAGCAAGTGAGGTGAGGGGTACAGGGGCATCCCCAGCTGTCCCGTTCTGCTCTGCCTCTCCCACCACAAGTAGACACTCCTCTTGGTTCTTTACATATTTACGCACAAATACAAAGTTAATTCTTACTTTCCTCATCTTTACACACGATTCTGCCTCTTGTGGTTTTCTCTTCACACCAGGTCTTCTTAGCTCTCTACTAATGTATTGGGTTGCTTCCAGTCTTTTGCTTTTAAAACCGTGCTAGCAAAAAAAAGAACCCCAAAAAAACAAACAAAAAAAACTACTAACAATTAAGAAGAATAAACAAAAAAACTGGACCTCATTTTTATTAAATTAAACTTAAAAGTTTCTGCTCTTCAAGAAAATGAAAAACCAAAAAGAAGATATATAAATGGCCAATAAACACATAGAAAGATGCTCAACAGCATTAGTCATCAGAGAAATAATAAGATTGTTCAGAGGTGGAATTGGTGTATCTTTTGGGCATTTGTAAGTTTTTTTTAGATTAACCTCATATATACTTAGGAACAGTGAAAAGAAAAAAAAATCACCCTTAAAACAATTACTGTAATTTTAGTGAATTTTCATAGTCTATTCTAGTAATTTATAGTGTACATTCTGTTTGTTTAGCATCAGAAATTAAAAAAAAAAAACTATTTCCAGCATACAGACTCTCCTGCTGTCCTGCCCGCCCTTGAGGTGTATTCAGTAAACTTCTGTCTCCTTAAAAAATAAACATATATTTTTTCAAGCTGTTACTCTTGCAATTAATTTTTGAGGTTAAATAGATACATATGATTCATTTAACCTTCCACTGTAATGAACAGTTTTGTGTATATTTCTAGGTATAAAGTCTTTTTTATTTTTTAATGAGAGAAGCCCAGAAGTTGAATTGCGTATTAGAGGATGGGAAGACTTCGGGGGTGAGATTAGGATGTGTAGGACTCAGGGAAAGTGTGGCACGCAGGGGCGCCTGGGTGGCTTAGTCATTAGGCGTCTGCCTTCAGCTCAGGTCATGGTCCCAGGGTCCTGGGATCGAGCCCCGCATCGGGCTCCCTGCTCTGCGGGAAGCCTGCTTCTCCCTCTCCCACTCCCCCTGCTTGTGTTCCCTCTCTCACTGTGTCTCTCTCTGTCAAATAAAAAAAAAAGTGTGGCATGCAGTATTAGCATTTAGGAAATGGCGTACATTCTTGAGCTTACTTGAGGCTAATTCCACACTTTCAGTTTTTTTTCTCATCTGTAGGAAACTGTCCAAATCTTAAATACATTTTATAAAAATCTGCAGTTGTGAGCCATTGATTCTTACTTTTATTGTGCACACGGACATTTTAAAGTATATTTTTTTATTATTTTCTCCCAAAGATGTGTATGTATGTATGTATGTATTTATTTATTTGAGAGAGAGCATGAGAGCATGAGTTGGGGAGGAGCAGACGGGGGGCCAAGCAGACTCTGCGCTGATCATGGAGCCCAACGTGAGGCTCAGTGCAGGGCTCAATCCTAGGACCCTCATGATCATGACCCAGGCCGAAACCAAGAGTCGGGCGCTTAACTGACTGAGCCACCCAGGCGCCCCTGAAGTATTTTATATACCAGCGCGCCTGGCTGGCTCAGTTGGAAGGACACATGACTCCTGATCTCGGGGTCGTGGGTTCGAGCCCCACCTTGGAGGTAGAGATTGCTTTTTAAAAAAACAAAACATAGGGGCACCTGGGTGGCTCAGTCATTAAGCGTCTGCCTTCAGCTGAGGTCATGATCCCAGGGTCCTGGGATCGAGCCCCTAATCGGGCTCCCTGCTCAGCGGGAAGCCTGCTTCTCCCTCTCCCTCTGCCCCTGCTTGTGTTCCTTCTCTCACTGTGTCCCTCTCTATCAAATAAATAAATAAAATCTTTAAATATATATATATATATAACATTTTTATTTTTATATATAAAAATGTTTTATATATCTTAGAAAATTTAAAATATATCCTTAAGTAAATGCGATGATGAAACTGCGTGCATGTGATAGCACATCTTTGAAGATGGGGTTGAGTAAGATCTAAGCAAAAGTGTTAAGTGGTCGTGGGATGATGAGGCACCTTTGCTTCTGTAAGGTATTATTTCCCTTTCTTTATTATTTGTTATACACTGCATAAATCACTTTTCAAAACCAAGAAAACTTTAGAAAACCAAAAACGAAAACATTTCAGTGTCCGGGCACCTGGATGGCTCCCTTGGTGAAGCGTGCAACTCTTGATCCCTTAATGAATTTACAGGTGACTTTTCTTCATTATCCTTCTCTCTTTTCTGAATATTATGAAATGAAAATTTCTCTCAGAACAGTATTTAAGCCTTTAAAAACATATCCTGTATGGGAGTTCCAGCTACAGCTGAGTAAGGAGAGGATTTCTCTCCTCAAAGATCACCATTAGCCTAGTATCAAAAGCAAACAGAAATAACACAAGAAAATAATAGATTAATATCCCTCAGGAACATAGATGAAAAATCCTTGAAATGTTAGCAAACCGAATCCAGCAGCTAAGTAGCATTTACAGCATGAATGCAAGGTTAATTTGACATCTGAAAATGTATTAATGGAATATGCAGTGTTGGCAGTATAAAGAACAAAACCCATATGGTCGTCTCAGTAGATGCAGAAGAGAAAGAAAAAAGCAAGTGCATCCCTTGAGCATCTAAGCATCTCCTACCCGCTCAGGATGAAGACCCTCAGGGAACCAGGAACAGAAGGGAACTCCCTCATGCTGATGCAGGACATACACAGTACTTCGTAGCAGCCAGCACACGGTGATGGAAGGTTGAGTGCTGCCTTCCTAAGTCAGAGGCACTTGACTGGGGTTTCTAGCTAGTACAGTAAGGTGGGAGGGAGGGAAGGAAGGAGAAAAACAGGTTGGAAAAGAAAAGTGAAGGAAGTAAAACTGTGGGCACCTGGGATGCTCAGTCGGTTAAGCGTCTCTGGCTCTTGGTTTCGGCTCAGGTCATGATCTCAGGGTCCTAAGTTCAAGCCCCATGTCCGGCTCCGAGCTGGGTGTAGAGCCTCCTTAAGATTCTCTCTCCCTCTCCTCTCCCTCTGCCCCTCTACCCCCAAAAAAGGACTTAAGACTGTCTTTCTTCATAGATAGCTTGACAAAAAAAACAAAAAAACTAAAAAAATTTCAGCACCAATCAGTATACACAAACCAATTTTGTTTTTATGTACAATCCAAGAATGGAATTACTTCAACAGTTCCACTCAGAGTAACAGCAAAATAAAGTACAAATGCAGCAAAGTAAGGGTACACGCAAGACCCGTACACTCCAAACTGCGTGACAGCACTGAGAGGGAATGGAGAGACAGCCCGTCGTCATGGGTCAGAGACTCCGTATCGTCAAGATGTCATTCTCTTCGAGTTAATCTGCAGATTCAGTGCAACCCCTACCAAAATCCCAGCAAAATCCCTGTTTGTAAAAATACACAGGTTGATTTTAAAACTCATTTGGAAATGTAAAGGACCTAAAATAGCCGAAACAGTTTTGTAGAAGAACAGCTATAGGAGTTATACTCTGATTTAAAACTTACCGTATGGCTGCGGTAGTCAAGACATTGTGGAATTGGCACACGGATTGGCGTATTGATCGATGGGACAAAATCAGGAGTTCAGAAACAAATCCTCACGTTTACGGTCAGTTGACCATTCACTTGACAATACAGTCGTGCTGGGACAACATATTCACGTGGAAAACAATGAGCTTAGACCTTCACCTCACACCGTGTGCAAAAACTAGCTCAACAGGATCAGAGGCCTGTCGGTAAAAGCCGAACCTGTGAAACCTCTAAAAGAACATAAAGGAGAAAATCTGCCTGGCTTTTGGATTAGACGGAGTTTTTGGTTGTACACCCAAGAGCACGGGCCAGAAAAAAGAAATCGATAAAAAGTTGGGACTGCCTCAAAATTAAAGCTTTTGTGCTTCAAAAGATACTATTTTTTTTTTAAAGATTTTATTTATTTATTTATTAGAGAGTGAGCGAGAGAGAAACAGCATGAAGCAGGCTCCCCACTGAGTAGGGAACCGGATGTGGGACTCGATCCCAGGACCTGGAATCATGACCCGAGCCGAAGGCAGACGCCTAACCATCTGAGCCACCCAGGCGCCCTCAAAAGATACTATTAAGAAAATGAAAAGACAAGCCACAGATGGGGAGAAACTGTGTTCAGGTGATATATATAATATATGTATGAAGAACGCTTACAACTTAGTAAGACAAGCAATTGAATTTAAAAACATGGCCAAAAAAAGTTTGACCTGAGAAGATATATATAAATGGCCAGTAAGCAAATAAGCACAGGAACAGTTGTTTGACACGAAATCAGATCCTAATGAGAGATTACTACATACCCACTAGAGAGACTGTAATCAAGAAGATAGACAGTACCAAATGTTAGTGACTGCATGGAGAAATTGGAACCCTCTTGACTGAATGTGAAATGGTAGAGCCTCTTCAGAAAAGTTTACCATGATTTAAAAAGTTGATGTACTCCTACCTCACACCATATACAGAAATGAACCCCAAATGGGTCAACAACCTTAATGTAGGAGCCAAAAGCATAAAACTCTTAGGAGAAAACAGGTAAGTCTTTATGATCTTGGATTTGACATTGGATTCCTAGATATGCCAAAAACATGAGCAAAAAAAGAAAAAATAAATATAAATTGGGCTTCATCAAAATTACAAACTTTGTACATCAAAAGACATTATCAAGAAAGTAAAAACACCAACCTATAGAAGGGGAGAATATTTGAAAATCATACATATGTATTCAGAATAAATAAAGAATTCTTACAGCTCAACAATAAGAAGACAAGCCAATTCAGAAATGGCAGAAGGCGTCAGTAGACATTTCTCCAAGGAAGATATACAAACAGCTGGTGATCTCACACAGACGTGCAACATGACTGATCATTAGGGAGATGCAACAGAACAACAGTGAAACAGTTCACCCGTCCATGAAGATGACCGCACACAGGCACTGTATAGAGAGTAACAAGTGACGGCAGGGATGTGGAAACACTGGAGCCTTTGTTGGTTGCTGGCATGTGAAGGAGCCACTATGGAAAAATGGTTCGACCCCGCAGGAAGCTGAACATAGACTTACCATTTGACCCAGCAGTTCTACTCTGAAGTGTATATACCCAGAGGTATTGGAAGCAGGGACTGAAACACAGGTTGCACACACATATTCACGCAGCATTATTCACAGGAGCCCAGAGGTGAGGACAACCGAATGTCCTTCTGTGGATGGATGGAGGATCAGATGTGGTCTCTACACACATACAGTGGAATGCTATTAAGTCTTAAACAGGAATGAAGTTCTGATACATGCTACAACATGGAGCATCTCAAAAACACACAACCTATGTTGTATGATTCAACTTATATGAAATACCTGGAATGGGCAAATTCTTAGAGCCTGAAGAGTTAGAGACCTGTTAGAGGTCACCAGGGCTGGGGGAGGGGTAATGGGTGCAACTATTAATTGCTTAATAGCGTTTCTGTTTCGGGTGATGACATTTTGTAGGAAAAAGTGGTGGCTTGAGATTCTCTCCTTCTGCCCTCCCTCCCCACACCACGCTGCTCGCTTGCTCTCTCTTTAAATAAATAAGTCTTTAAAAAAAAAAAGGGTTAGGGGCGCCTGGGTGGCTCAGTTGTTAAGCGTCTGCCTTCGGCTCAGGTCATGATCCCGAGGTCCTAGGATTGAGCCCCGCATCGGGCTCCCTGCTCCACAGGAAGCCTGCTTCTCCCTCTCCCACTCCCCCTGCTTGTGTTCCCTCTCTCGCTGTGTCTCTTTCTGTCAAAGAAATAAATAAAATCTTTAAAAAATAAAAAAAACGGTTTAGGGACGCCTGGGTGGCTCAGTCGGTTGAGCGTCTGCCTTTGGCTTAGGTCATGATCTCAGGGTCCTGGGATCAAACCCAACGGAGAGTCGGCTTCTCCCTCTGCCCCTCCCCCTCTGCTCTTGTACTCTGTCTCTCACTCTCGCTCTCTCTCAAATAAATAAATAAAATCTTAAAAAAAAAAAAAGTTTAAATGGTGAAATTTATGTTCTGTATTTTACCACAATTTGAAGAAAGATCCCTGTGCAGACTCCTCTGTCCTGTGGAGTGCTGTTTCCCGAGCTTTCCTGTGAGGTCACTCTGACAAGGTTTTGGAGCTGGAGTGCCGTGTGGGCGGAGCGTTGTGGCCGAGCCGTCTCTGAGTGCACCTGCAGACTCGGTTGTCTGCGGGGAACATGGACTTTGTTTGAGGAAGTGGGGTGTTCCAAAGGGGCTTGCAGCCGTGTCTGCAGAGCTCTAAATTTGCTAACATCATTTACATATACATATAAATACGCATGTCTGTATATGTACATAAACATATGCGTGTATCTCCCCTTCCTGTCATTAATTTTTATTGCTGTAAGTTTGAACTCTAATGTTTATGTAAAGGCAGATAATACCTAAGGTCATTCTGTCCCCACCATCAAGTCATAAGTTTAAAAAAATGAAATCAATCCAACCTTTCCTTTGCCAAGAAATTGTCTTGGGTTGTTTGCATTACCCTATCTGCACTGAAAGCTTATACCTTTAATGATCTTAGCTATTCCAGTAAATAGGTTTTAAAATATTATCATATTCATTTTGGTGCCAATTAATGCACTTAAGATATTTTATCGATGTTATTTCTGTAGTATATTAACAATGAGGGAACAATATATAGCAATTATTTCAGTTTTAGGAAGCACTTAACTAGATTAAAAGCTGTAAGTAGCAGATATTACACTTGAGAATAGTGGTCTCATCGTGTGCTGGGTGGGTTGTTAGCCATGGTCTGTACCTTACTATTACAAGGACAGGTGATAAAACGAATTTAGACACTAAGATCATGTTGGCAAAATAACTAGCTCTGTTAGAAATGAAAATCCCAAAGTGTGCTGTTTTCAGATATATGGCTCTCATATAAATCCTTTGTTGTTTAGGGTCTGCTACTCAATAGAGGTTGCTTTTTAACTCCCAGCAGAGTTCTTAAAACTTAGACCCTTTTGCAGCATCATTGGCTGCCGGGGCTCATCCTCGTTCTGGCCTTTGGTATTTGGATCCTGACCTTCTCCCAGGAGCAGAATGAACGGTGTCTCTAGGGGGAACCTGGCTGGTCGGTTGGGAGTCAGGGTCGTGAGCTCCATGTTGGGCATGGAGCCTACTTAAAAATTAAGAAAGGTGTCTCGGGGCACCTGGGTGGCTCAGTCATTAAGCATCTGCCTTCAGCTCGGGTCATGATCCCGGGGTCCTGGGATCGAGCCCCGCATCGGGCTCCCTGCTCCGCGGGAAGCCTGCTTCTCCCTCTCCCACTCCCCCTGCTTGTGTTCCCTCTCTCATTGTATTTTCTCTGTCAAATAAATAAATAAATAAAATCTTTAAAAAAGAAAAGAAAAGAAAGGTGTCTCTAGAGTTGGCTCTCAGCCACGAGCTGGCATCTGTCACTGGCAGGTGGAATGATAGGAATCACTCTTACCAGTTGGTTGCTTTGGTGTTTTTCGGATAATACCGCTTTGCAGTTACCTGGTTTGTGATAAAACATTTGTTCCTGTTATCACAGGAGGCTATTCCGCCGACCATCCTGTAATCAAAGTCTTTTGGAGAGTTGTGGAAGGATTCACCGATGAAGAAAAGCGCAAGCTGCTCAAGTTCGTAACGAGCTGCTCCCGACCCCCTCTCTTGGGGTTTAAGGTACACAGCTTCTGTGTCATTTGCTTTAAAAACCAACTTGTAAGCAGGAAAGGCAGCAGGATAACAAGTGGGATTAAATGATGTAGTGCACTATCCACGGTTCTCAGGGGAGTAACATTTACCGTGTAGAGCGTTTATAACACCAGTTTCTCTGTATTTTTAGCTACATTAACTATTTCGGCCAGATCAGTTACGTATTGGTCATGATGTGTATTTCGTGGTGCTGGTCCCCGGGTTACCTGCTGATGTGGCCGCTGTGATCGTGATGGCCTGTGAGCAGGGCCTGCTGGCTGGGGGGCCCTGGGCAGGGCTCGGGGGATGTAAAGTACCATCTCCTCAGTTTTACTTACTCTGAACTGAAGAAAACACAAGCTAAAAATGGGGATGTAGTGTGTTTGGGAAGAATAATGTGGGAGCAAAAGTGCAGTTGACCTTTGAACAATGTGGGGTTAGGGGTGCTGACCACCCCCCCCCCAAGCAGCAGAAAATCCACAGGTAACTTTTGACTCTTCAAAAACAACTACTACAGCCTGCTCTTCATGGGAAGCCTTACCAATAACAAGCAGTCGAGTAACACGTCTTCTACACTATTCTTACAATAAAGTAAGCTAGAGGAAAGGAGATGTTGAAATCCTAAGAGAAAATACCTGTCTAGTACTGATCTGTATTTATGGGAAAAATCTGCATGTAACTGGATTCGCACAGTTCAAACCAGTATCATTCAAGGATCAGTGGGATATTTTTCCCTGTTGTTAGCTGTTACTTTTTCATGTTACTTATCATTTCTGATCATTAATTCAGCTTAATATTTTTAGCAATTAAAATTGGTTAGGGGACAGTTAGAGGTTCCCTTATTCATTGCCAATTAAAATAAAGCAATATTAATAGTTTAAAATACACAGTGGTGTATATAATATAGAAGAATATCAAGTTAGATAAGCACTGAATAATGCTTGTGCAGGTGAAACTTACAGAAGGCACGTACTTTCCCATAACCTTCTATCAATGAGTTATATAGGAGTTACTCTTTTCTTCAAATTTTTACTTTGAAATTATTTTAAAAGTATGGAAAAGTTGTGAGAGTTGAATAAAGAGCTTCTAGTATGTAAATTGCACTTCAATCAAGCTATTTTTATTTATTTTACTTATTTTATTTTTACTGGTATATATTTTTAGAGAGGGAGAGAGGGAGTTGGGGGCAGAAGGGGAGAGAGAATCTCAAGCAGACTCCACACCCAGCACAAAGGCTGACTTGGGGTTTGATCTCACAACCCTGAGATCACGACCTGAGCCAAAATCAAGAGTCAGACGCTTAACCCACGGAGCCACCCAGGAGCCCTTTAATCAAACTATTTTTAAAAATTGACATCAATAGGGGCGCCTGGCTGGCTCAGGCGGTGGAGCATCCGACTCTTGATCTCAGGGTTGTGAGTTCGAGGCCACGTTAGGTGTAGAGATTACTTAAAAATAAAAACAAAAAAATCTTTAAAAAAATGACTCTCCGTAGCTTCGTACAGCATTCCAGCAGTGCCATCCGAGCTAGAGCCATAAAGTGGAGAAGTTGGGGGGTTGGCGTGAGTGCGGTGGTTTGATTGTTCACAGGACCTGCGTAATTGAAACTGCTGTAGTTTGGAAGCTGGATAATTTTCAGTGACTTTAGAACTGAAATCACTCCTGTCTTCCAAAGTATCAGAGGAGGAGAATAAGCCCCAAAAGACAAACAGAACCCACTTCATGAACCAGATACAGAAAACACTAAGAATCATGAAATAGACACGGAACGTTATTGAGAGAAGGCTGAACCATCACAACAAGGAATGTGCACAGAATAAACTCATCTGTTAAGGGAAAGAACTTTCAGACTGGGTTAAAAAAAACTCTGCTGTGTACAAGCAACACACCTAAACAAAGTGATTCAGAAAGATTGAGTGATGTTTCTGGTTTGGTGTATAACTGCCCCCGGTGACCCCAAAAGAACTAGATGGATCAGCTCCACGGTTTTATGCCCTGGCACACGTGACCAGATATGAAAACAGGCCTCTGTGCATCTAAAGAAAATCAGGCAATAGCCTGAAAGAAACACGTCTGTGCTTTTTGGTTCCTCTTGGGCTTGTCGTGAAGTCTGGGGATGTTGCCGTGTTGGGGCCTGGAGAGCGGGAAGAACGCGGGGGAGGCTCGCAAGTGTGCAAACCAGTGGGACCAAGGAGAGGGTCTTCTGAGGGCCAGGTTTTATCATCTAGTCATGGCAACAGTCACATAAATTCTTACATACTAAGATTGTAATACGATTAGGTAGTTTTATCAGCGACCTTTATTATGAGAGACTAGGTTTCTAGAATCTTCCAGTTTCAAAATGACACCAAACCTAGAGGTAAGAAAATTAAGGACCTAGTTTCATGAAAGGAAGTTTGGAAGACCTACTCCCATCAAAACTGAGTGGAGGACCCAGAGATTTCTGCCAGCTCCTGATTAATTTAGTCCAGGGCCAGAAAGAACTAGGGGTGTTGCTGGAAGGGGAAGGTTCCAGAGATTTTGGCAGCCAGTGGAAGAGTCTGTGTTAAAAGGCCTGTGGGAGCGTCACATGTTTACAGGGAAGGAGAAGTTGGGGGGTTTACGTTAGCTTTTAAAATCCCACATGGAGGGCGCCTGGGTGGCTCAGTCGGTTAAGCATCTGCCTTTGGCTCAGTCATGATCCCAGATCCTGGGATCCAGTCCCGCGTTGGGCTCCCTGCTCGGCGGGAAGGCTGCTTCTCCCTCTGCCTCTGCCTGCCGCTCCCCCTGCTTGTGCGCACCCTCTCTCTCTCTCTCTCTCTCTGGCAAATAAATAAAACAAAACAAAATCCCACATGGAGCCATAGTGAGAACAAACACTCTTGTCCCCTCTTGGTGACCCCACACAATCCTAACTGAGCTGTCATTGTACCATGAAAAATGCTTTGGGGAGCTATGAGATAATCTTCCTATTTTAGATTTTTTTTTCAAGGATCTAAAATACATTAAATATGAAATTTAATTTAGAGTTTTCAAATATCTTTGCAGTTGTCCTAAGTTAGGTTCTGAAGGTGGAAAAAAATCACCTTAATATTTGTGCTTTCCAGTTGGCTCGGCATGCCCGGTGAGAGTGTCCTTCAGTCCAAGTCCTGTAAAGAGCAAAGGCAAACTTGCATAATTTAAAAGTTAGGAAACTCCTTAGTGCCGGATTATTGGAGAAGAATAGCGTCTGCTAAAGCTAATTAAAGTTTAATATGTTCAATGAATGTGATTGTTACAGACAAAAAAATCATTAAAGCGCTGTAGAAAATTGTTAAGTTGCCATCAGGCCACATAACAAATTGATGATTTTTCTCACTCTGAATTAATGCAAATTCCCGTTGTGCTCTATTTAATTATGCACGAAATGGTGCCCTTGACTCAGATTTCAGTGAAAAACTTCATTTTTTTTACTTTTAAGTCTCCAAGTAGGAAATTCAATTAGCATTATGAAAGAAATGCTAAAATGGGGCATTTAATTCCAAATGTATTTCAGGCTCTTCCCATTTAGCCAGTCACTCACCTTTCTCCCTGTGCTCACCGACTCTGCCTTCAGAGGTCCTTTTGTGTTTCAAAATGTGATGTTTTCATTTTAGTTTATTCAAGCATTTGAGAAAATTGCCCTCCATGTACTCAGAATGTGAAATAATTTAATGTGCTGTTTCTCTTTTGGTTTCTGTTCGGACACTTCCATGAGACACTTTTAAAATAGCATATAAACTATAATTCTTAAAAAGACAGTGGTTTTTAGCACATACTATATGCCACGTGTACTGTTTAAATGAAGTTTTTAATTTAACAGTGAGAAACATACAAAGGCTAATAATAAGTATGTAAGTCTGAGTCAGCGTTTTGTGGGCTGTGTTGTTGCTCAGTTTTGCCCACATTGTAAAGTACATGCTAAATTCAACACACAAATGAAACGAAACCGCAGAGAAGCAGTTTGGGCCAGTTGGGCGCCCGCTGTGCTGGGCAACAGGGTTCAGGCGCCTCCGGGGGTCCCCGTCCGGGCGGGGACATTGCTCCAATTTTGTTCTCCCGTTTCCACAGCGGGTGGTTAGTAGGTAATTACTTTTTATACTCTTTGATCATAATTCTTGAATATAATTTAGGCTAATGATGTGCTTAGTTTTATAGGCTTTTTTTCACTCAACATTACATCAGGATCATTTTTCCTCATATTAAAACATCTTTGAAATATTTTTAATCAACTTCATAATGTCCCATCATGCAAAGTTACCACAATTGACTTACAGTTTCTTATTAGTTGTTTACAACTCTTCCTTCCTTTTGACGCCAGGAACATCCCTGTGCATAAATCATGGTCTCTATCTCTGGTTGTCTGCTTAGGCTGCAGTCCTGGAAGTGGAGGTCAGAGGACGTGCATGTGTGTGGCTCCCGGTGCCCGCGCCACACCGGCCTCGTGGGCAGCTAGGCCAGGCGGTGCCTTGGAGAAGCTGCTGGCGGTGTCGGTGTGAGCCTTTGCTCCGGTGTTGGAAGCCCAGCTGTCTTGTCACAGCTCTGAGGAGGAAGCATGTGACAGGTGTGCGGGGCGCTGACCCGGAGCTGAAACCACCCTGTGCCAGATGCCAGCCAGGGGGGCCGCCGTTTTGCTCCCTGGGCCCCGTTTTCTGGTACAGTGAGGGGTGCAGCAGCTAGCTGGGTGTCTGAAATCCTGTAGCAAGGGAGCTAAAACCAGGCTTGCCTGAGAGTTGGCAGATTCAGGCTTTCAGGATGAAGACCGTCTCCACTTCATCGGGCTCCTGTTGGAGGAGGACATGTAAATCACGTCTTGTGTCTAATGGTGTTTGTTGTAAGAGGGAGATAGAGTCCCTGGTTATTTGTGGCTATGAAAGAGCTGTCCTTCCCAGAGATCGCACGTTCATCCTGCCTGATCAAGTTAACCTGCAGATACATCTGCACAGGGTGAGGTGACTTAGCACGTGCGTATTCATAGCATCGTCATTGGTAAAATTAGTAAGTACAATAAATAACGTAACTGTCCATCAACAAGTGGTGCTGCGTACATCGAGTAGAATACCATACAGCCTCAAAAGAGGGAACCAGATTGATTGAGAAAGATCGTAGAGACAGAGTATCATGTGAACGACGATCGAGGTCCACACAGTGTGCATAGTGTGCTAACGTTTTCTATTTTAAAGTGGGGAGGGAGAAGATACTTTCTTGTCTGTGCACGAATCTCTGTGAGAAGGTACTTAAGACCCTGAGCACGGCTGCTCGTGGGCCGGGAGCCAGCTGCCGGGATGGACAGAGTTTGCGCGTGCCTGAGAAAACAGTGTCTAAAACGTAAGCGCTTAGTCCCTTCGTCCTGCCAGCGCTGCTGGGACAAGCAGGACAAGCGAGCCACGCCATCCGCCGCCCTCTTGTCCCGCACCTGGTCACTGAACTCACGGAGGAGCTTGGTCGCTCCTCTGTACGTCTTGTGAGCCTGGTCATTAGAGGATCATCAGACTCCGGATTTGAATTTTTCTTTTTTGGTAGTAGTGTTGCATAGATAAAACGTCGTCTGCTTTACATTGTGTCACTTCAGCGTCAAAGACCCAGTGTCTGAGTCGGCGGCCGGAGGGGCCGGGACTGGTGCGCGGCTTCGGTCCGCCTGCTGCAGAGGCCCCTTGCGGCCGCGCCCTAGACCCGTTCTTTCCTGTGCTTGTGAAACAGCCACGGTCCACCTGCAGCATCTCTTCACTTCTTAGCAGACATTTCCCCCGAAGAAAAGCTTTATTTTTTCTCATCAGTTATTTGGTTACCCTGAGGACTCTTTGTGCAGAAATGACACCTCCTTAAGGCAACCGTATGTTTAGCTGCTTTACTATCACCACGAACGCATGGACTTTCACATTTTGCGTGTTTCCGTCAATTCCAAGCATTCCTTTTCGCCTTCCAACCCACCTGAAGGCAGGGGGGGTGTGGGGTGGCTGGCTTTCTGGTGTACACATGGTGACACTGGTGCATTTCCTGGCTCCATATGGAATCCCGTATTTTCCCAAGGAGCCTGGTTCCTTCCCATGAGAAGTGGGTCTACAGAAACCAAACCTGGGCACTCAGGCTGTTCATTGTCACATGTGGTTATTGTTTCCAGGCCCTGGAAACCATGGACAGCGTCAGGAAATGGGTGCGGTTTTTGCCCTAAGAGAAAAATACATCACAAGTTCAAACTGACCTTTCCAATTCAAATTTAAACTTCCAAGGTTTTCGGGGTGGCTCAGTCGGTTAAGCATCTGCCTTCGGCTCAGGTCATGATCCCAGGGTCCTGGGTTTGAGCCCCGCATCGGGCTCCTGGCTCAGCGGGAAGCTTGCTTCTCCCTCTCCCTCTGCCTCTCTCCCTGCTCATGCTTTCTCTCTCTCTCTCTCTGTATCTCTGTGTCTCAAATGAATAAATAAAATCTTAAAAAAAAAAAAATTTAAACTTCCAAGGTTTTTATTTCTTTGATTTTATATTTGGATCTTATTTTAATGGGGACAGTTGTGGTTTTTAATTTGCTTTTTTTTTTAAGATTTTATTTATTTATTTGACAGAGAGAGACATAGCGAGAGAGGGAACACAAGCAGGAGGAGCGGGAAAGGGAGAAGCAGGCTTCCCGCCGAGCAGGGAGCCCGATGCGGGGCTCGATCCCAGGACCGACCCTGGGATCATGACCTGAGCCGAAGGCAGACGCTCAACGACTGAGCCACCCAGGCGCCCTTAGTTTGCTCTTTTGCTTCATCTCCTAGTGGATTCTGGAGTCCCACAGTCTGTTACTATTCCACATAGATGTGCAGTAGTCGTAAGGAGCACCGTGGTGGTTTTAGAACAACACTGCGGGGGCGGGGGGCGCCTGGGCAGCTCCCTGCTCGCACTCAAGCCCTCTCTCTCAAATAAATAAAATCTTAAAAAAAAAAAAACAACACTCAGAATAACGCCTCCCTGTGTGATTAAGCCACCAATGCGTAGGTTCCTTTGTTTCATTTTGCTTTCAATATTTTGAGGTTGCTGTTTTCCTCCCCATTTGAGTGAATTTGGGTTTTTTTCTGTTGTGACATCCGAGTGGCTCAGAGTTTAGAGAAGACGAGCTCTGTCACTGTTCCTCCACCCTGCTCTGTCCCCCCGGGTGGCTTCTGTTCTGACATAAGCAAATGGGCGTATATATTCAGGTCTTCCCTCTCGTACCTTCTTGAATTTAAACAAATTTTTAAAAGACTAAAACTGTGGAGGCCCTGCTCACTGGAGAGGTTCTGTTTCCCGTGAGTGAACGTTATTCTTGTCCTTTCTCATGCACAAAGTGCAGGGCACAGTGTTTGGTATTCTGCAGAGCTCAGTCTGGAGCATCGTAAAAAACCAGATGTCTTTTGGGAAAACGTGACCACAACAACGTTTTACTGTTTGAAGCAGGCAGGTTTTGTGTGCTTTTAAAAAATCCATTCAAGGGCCGCCTGTTAAAGCCGCGTCCTGCACACCTGCTTTCTTTTTAGGAGCTGTACCCCGCATTCTGCATTCACAACGGAGGCTCTGACCTCGAGCGGCTCCCCACGGCCAGCACCTGCATGAACCTGCTGAAGCTCCCCGAGTTCTATGACGAGACCCTTCTGCGAAGTAAGCTTCTCTACGCCATCGAATGTGCTGCTGGCTTTGAGCTGAGCTGAGCCCAGACGGGGACTGACCCTCCGCAGAGGAGTGCCTGTGGCCGCACCGTGGGCAGCTCCCCCGGCCGCTGAGGGCGCTGGGGCCGGACTCCTGCAGCTCTCCTGCCCCCCCTCCCGTCCCTCACGCCCCCTCCTCCATTTTCTAGATGGTCCGTTAAGTCATGGTCGCTCACTTAGATGGACACTGCTTTTCCGATAACTTAGAGTAACCAATGTTATGTGCCATGTGGCTACTTCAGTAACTTTGCCAAGAAGAGCACAGTTTTAAGACTAGTGGCAACTCAGTGAAATTAACCAAAGATGAAGCTTTGGCTTTGCTGATGGACTCGAGCCCTTCCTGGGCTGGGGGTGCTGGGGGGGGGGGGGGCGGGGGGCAGCGCGTTTGCTCGGTCTGCAGAGACACTGGGTCTGAGAGCTAGAGATGTGTCCTCTCTGGGCCCGTTGCTTCTCGTGTGGCTGAATTGTTTACAGTCCTGTTAAAACTAAAGGCATTTTCTCTCCTGCTGCCTTTTCCCAAAGTGGTTAGGTTTGGAAAATACACAACAATGATAATACTGTATTTGTGCTTTTTAAGCCATTCCCCTGAATGGGACTAGCATGCTTGTTTCGGTTTACCGTTGACCGCATCATGGTGGTTTGGGTATTCCTGTGTGTGGGTGTGTGTGAGGGGAGACTTCATCCTTCTTCCATTTCTGGCTCCACCTCGTGGCCGCAGAGCTTCCGGGAGAGGGGAGGGGCTCATCCGGTTCCCGCGGCCCGCGTGGCCCGCGATCGGCGCGACTTGGAGAGAGCAGACACTGGCATCGATTCGAGTCACTTGAACCAAAGTGGGAGGCTGCGGGTTTGCACTGGGCGCCGCCTGCCGTGCGGGGCCTCGAGGCCGGCCGCCCTCCTCCCCCGGGGCTGCGCCCGCCCCTCTTGCCAGATATCTGGGCCGTGGGCCACGCTTCTGCACCCTCTGCTTCTCGACGGTGCTGCGCTGAAGGAAGCCTGGACAGTCCCCAGCGCGTGTCCGGGGGAGGAGTGGTGGTGACTCTCTCTTAAAAAGGCACTTTATCAGGACCTACCTTGTTGCTGGGTGATTTCGGTCTCTGAAAACGGAGAGCGCGTCAGAGCGTCAGTCATGAGAGCCAGAGTGACCCTCGCTGATGCTGGGGGCCTGGGGGCTCTCGCTCTGACCTCCCTCTGCCTCACCTAGCGTTTCCTGTCACTGGGCTGTGGGCTGTCCTATGGAATTGACCAGAATTAGCAATATGCTTTTAAATGCGGGGAAACTGAATGACACTTTTAAGACAATGACCATATCAAAACAAAATGTATAATTTCATAATTTGAATAATAAATTAAGTGTTTAAATGCTATTTGTAGTCTTGATATACAGAAATAAAATAATTAGGGTTTGTCCTTGGTTTTATTTTTATTTTAGGTTGGTTTATGTTGAATGTTCTGTATCTTCTCTGCATATTAGTTTGTGTATTTTATTATCAGTATTTTGAAAATGGATTATCTGGGACTGAAGGGAGATGGGCAATTACACTTACTTGGGTTTTTTTTCTCAGCTATTCTGAGCTTATTTATTTATTTGTATGTTCCAGTGGTTAAATATTTGCATTAAATGTTTTTTCCCCCAAGATTGTGTTGGAGTCACCCGAAATCATTGTGATTCGTTGCTAAAACGATTGTTTCATCACGGGTGTGTAAGTGACGTCAGGTAATGCGGCGTAAGGACAGCCTGTGATTATTGCTGAGACCCCACCAGACTGGACAGGATGCCCGCCGTCTGCACACACAGATGCTCCAGCAGGCAGACGGGGGACCGCCCTCCCGGCTTGTGCTGGGGTGCCCTCCCCGGGGCCGCGTCGCTGGCCTGTGCTATCCCGGGAGGGATGCCACCTCCCAGGCTCTCCGTGGGTTTAGCAAGACACTGTTGAGAAAAATTATACGTAAAGGGAGACTCTCTTTCTGTGCTTTGTTTGCCTTTCTCTGGGTTCTTTTCTACTTTGTGTTTACTGCTAACAATTTTGTGCTCAAACGGAACGTTGAGTTAAAGTGGGGGGTATTCCAGGTGTTTCTCACAGGCTGTCGCCTGCAGATAGAGTCTGGCCGGCGTCCTCCGCGCTCGGTGGTCTTGTCGCCACGTCCTGCCCTGGTGCTCGTGACAGCCCCGCCTGCGGCTTGTGTGGTGAGCACCCATGTGCGGCACAGCCGGGCGCCACGGAGCCCGCCACAGCCACTGGCAGCCACGGCCCTGCCGCTCGAGCCCCAGCTTGCGGTCCGCACAGGCCTTCCGGGCACAGACCCGCCATTGGCAGCGATGGAGAACCGAGGCAGGGCCTCGCAGACCTGTGGATGCTCGTGGGATTTGGGGCACAGGAAGGGCCCCCTAGACTTCCTTGCGGGGAGCGGGGAGCTTGACATTATTTCATATTGAAGCTGTCTCATGATTTAAAGAAAGATAAACAGCGAAAAGCATATGATAATGCAAATAAAATAGAAACCTGGGGCCTAGACTAGGAGCATAAAATAAGCTAACCACAGCTAATAATTAGCTGATCTCTCGCAGCCAAGACCTAAAGCCAGAAACTGAAAACAGTCAGCTCTTTGAAATTTATCTGTTCCAGGCCAGAACGCATTACAAGTGCGTAATAACCTGTCTGAGATAACACAGCCACGTGTACCATGCAGGACGGCGGATTTCCCCTGGACGCCTCTGCTCCCCAAACGGAAGCCGTGTGTCGGTGAGCTCTCTCGGCTTCCAGAGGCTTCTCCCGGTGCTGTGCTGGCGGCCAGGCTCGGCAGCCTCGACGAGTCCTTGTGCGAGGCGTTGGAGAGCTGAGAGGACCACGTGGGCTGCAGGTGGGAGGCTCCTGTGGGCTCCAGGGCTGTGGGCCACGCAAAGCTCTCTGCTTCCAGAAGAGTCTGAGGGGGGGTTCTTTTTTTTTTTTTTTTTAAGATTTTATTTATTTGACAGAGAGAGACACAGCGAAAGAGGGAACACAGGGGGAGTGGGAGAGGGAGAAGCAGGCTTCCCGCGGAGCAGGGAGCCCGACGCGGGGCTTGATACCAGGACCCTGGGACCATGACCTGAGCCGAAGGCAGACGCTTAACGACTGAGCCACCCAGGCGCCCCTGAGGGGGAGTTGTTAAAGCCTGAGGACTTTGTGCCTCCGCTCGTGTGTCTGTCAAATGGGGATGATCTGGGTACTTGGGCTGCCCAGCAGCGTTGTGAAGGGACGTGCAACAGAATCTCACTTTAAACTGTGGTCTCACGTGGTTTGATGCCACGTCTTCGAACTGCAGAAGCAGGATGACAGCCGTCCGACCCCGGCCTTAGTAAGCGGACGCCTTTGCTGTTTCCTCGGCAGAGGTGGGCAGAGGACAGTCACCTGTCTTGTCTTCCCACCTCTCCGTTCCTTCTGTGGAGGGACGGTTCCCAGTCAGCTCTGAGCACTTCTCGGAAAGTAGCATCCTTCGCTTGTATACGTGACACGTCACAACCCGCCGTGTGATTCAGCCAACACTTAGCGGACGATCGTTCACCTTACACGGGTGGTGCAGCCTAGGTCAGGAGCCCCCCTCCCCCCGCCGGCCTCCCCGGTGGGCTCTGCAGTCAGCACAGGCTGTGTGTCCTCCCTCCATCCGGAATAAAGCAAAGGGCAGACTTACCGTGGAGGTGGGAACCTGCGTGGGGTCGACTGGGGACACAGGGTCTGAGCACCTCCTGGAGCTACAGCGAGCCGACAGCCAGGACTGCAAGCAGAAGCACACGTTTGATTCGGGATGAGCCTGCGGACTGGTGAGTGTCGTCACCAGAAGCTTCTGCTTGGACCCGGTGCTATCTGGAGAATGGAGGTGGGGCAGTAAGTGGATGCCATACGGACTCAGACCCGAGAGAGGAGAGCCAGCCCGAGTCATGCTGCA